GATCGCGTGTTAATTGACGCCCTTTACCATTCATATCTTCAATTACATAATCATATCCATTTCAATTTCTCGTTATATTGCTTAATGTTGATCAGTTCTCCTTAACTAAAATATGCGAAATTATTCTCGATAGAAAACTGACTTAACTCTTTACACTCGAATGAGAAAGAGAGAGTGAGTGAGAGAGAGAGAGAGAGAGAGAGAGAGAGAGAGAGAGAGAGAGAGAGAGAATGACAAGTTGAAAAAATATATCACAAGAGTGGATAATTATTTTATGCTCTTTCTTTTCATATTTTTGAAATTATAACCACATTCATTTTTTACATTTTTGATAATTATTTCATCTAATCTTGTGATTTATTTATACATATAATATAATATTATACATATGTAATAACAAAATTATATAATTATCATATAAATTCCTTTCACGAAATAATTTTTGTTCTTTTTTTTTAATTAGCCACAGAAGAGAAAAAAGTAGCTTATTTTTTATTAACTAAATTTTATTTTTCAAATTTCTTTTTACAGGATCTTCCTTCAATCGCGGGAAGGATAATGACGTGTAAAACAGGATTGCCGTGTGCAAAGAGTTAAACCTACAACATTAACAGTATCTTCAACTGTGACTGCTTTTTTTCTCTCGGAATCGTTCGCTGTATTATTCAATCGATGTTTAACGGTAAAGAGTGTCTGTATGATTGTTATCACACAAGAAAAACATTCTAATTGTTGCGCTCGAGACTATAAGCCGTGTCATTCTTATGTTTTCTCTTTTAGGACTACGGTCCTTCCTGGGGTATTTTTAATTACGTGTAGAAAATGCGAGAGGTGTTCGAGAAATAATACGACGCTTCGCGGGTTTCGGAAAAATGATTGCGCTGGAGTGTCGGAAGAAAAGTAACAGGACAGAAGGGATCACTACAGCACTTCGCGTAGCTCTCAGGAACAATCGTATTTTATTCTATGAGCAGCATGACAATTACGCTTCTCGGCTTCTTCGAGTTATGCGTATATATAAATATATACTGAACTCAAGGCACGTTAGTCCCCTCGTTTATCAAAAGAGAATAAAACATCCGATCTGCCAATCACAATATATATATATATATGGAATGTCGCAGCATCACTCAACAAAAACTGATTAGCGGCGCAATATTTCTCTTATTTAATCTTTTATCTCTATGTAAATCCCGTTGAATAACTCTGATTTCTCATTTACGCCTTCCAGGAAGCATTTTTTTTTAATTTCCCGGGGAAATTCTAATAAATATACAAATGTTATGTCGAATCTGTAACGTCATGTCAATGCTCAAAATCTGAAAATTCACCTAAAAAGCGTATTAGCTGAAAGATTTAAGTAATAATCAGTACGTTTGCGGTAATTCTGCGATGAAAGCTACTTCTCGAACACTCCTCGTAACTCGATGCATTCAGCACGGCCCAATAGGACTCACGTCGGCGCCACTTCGATGGCTCGGCTCAAAAAGTGGGTAATTTGAAAAATCTCATGTTACAAATGTATTCTCAATCTTCTAACTTGAAAAATATATCTACATATTTGCAATTTTATCTAGAAAATACTTATGATACTGCCTGCATTCCTTCGTCATAATTGAATGCAGAAAATAGATGGATGAGAAGAAATCGATATTTATTTCATAAAATCAGGTTCTTATGTTTTTAATCCAGAATTAAGAAAATGTATTGAATTTAGTTTGATACAATATCTCATCTATTTTTATTCTCAATATCTTATCAGTTTATTGTATTTCTTGTGTGAAAAATGTCATCATTTTTTTTTAAATAAATTATTACAGTATTCAATATTATACATATATTCCTTAGAAATTTATTTTAATTTTTAGAAAAATGTAACTAAATTTTAATAAATATTTGTTTAAATAGTGCCAGTTGAATATTTATTATCTGTAAATATATATTTATTTGGTATAAGAACCATTAATTTGATTTATTTATTATTATATTTTATTTAGCAAATATTTATTTTCCATAAATAAATGTTACATTAATACTATTCAAACAATTAAATGTTCATTAAAATTTAGTACATTAGTATGTAATTAGTACATTTTTCTCACTATATATAGACTTGTTCTTTTTTGCTGAACTTTTGCATCAGTTCATCTTTCTTCCTCTTTTTTCTTTTTGGAGAAAAAAAGAAGAAAGATGACCTGGTGCAAAAGTTCAGCTAAAAAAAAACAGGCCTTATGTCTTAATTATGCTATTATTTAGTCTTTATTATAATATTAAATTATTTAATTTTATTAAAAGAAGAAATGTAAAATAAATATTAAATATATCTAAAGAAATCTCTGAAAAGAATCGAAACGTAAATAAAAAAATAGAAACTACATCAAAAAATGTTTAAAGAAATTTCAAAGCCGCATAGTTTAAAAACTTTAATCAAATTTTTTTATTATCCATTTTCTGCAGTCAATAATCGGATAAGATTGATAAAATAATACTATTATGAGTGAAGGATTTGTAACGCGGTTTACTAACATGTGTGTGATTATACGATATAAAGGTTTTTTTTCAAGATTGTAAATGTTAGAAGCCAGCCGAAGACTGAAATCTTACATTATCATCTTTTCGAGCCGGTCTATCGATTTGCAGCTGCCATGAACGAGCTGTCCTGCCCGAAAACAACGGGACGTGCGCTCCAATTCCAGTGCAATATCGATACGAGATCTATTATCGGTAAGTTTTCAAATACGAAGTAAACTATCAGTACGTAATCTCAACTCTACGCCATGAGGACGTTCACTCCCCGCGCATCGCTGCGCTTACACTCGACGTTCACCCTCGGACGCCGATCTCCGAGCGGAAGATCCACCACTCGGACACGACATTACGGATGAAACGATGCCGATGAGAAAGATAGAGACGTCGGATAAAAACTTCGTGGGAAATTTCGAGCGTAAAGCTTTGAGAACAACGACACTCCACTATTAAAAGGGAGCTCGTGTTCAAAAATCGCGACTATATCCCCATGTTATGTACCCCCGCAATACTATTTATAGAATAAATACACAAAACTTTATAGAGAGAGTCTTTTTCGCGAAGGACGATGGCGTTCGTTCACTAGCGCGAACAATAACACCATCGCCAATGTCTCTCCCTCGCCCACCCTGTCACCTTGACGTTCTCCTAAAGGAAAGACACTATTATTAGATTCTTATTTGTTCCTAACTGTTCCACGATTCTATCGATCGTCGTTCCTCCGATAATTCGAAGGCGGCCTCTCGTTTCAACACTTTCTCGAAGCACCATCTGAAGAGTTAACTTCATGTTCCATCATCCTTCAGTCATTTCTTCGACTTGAACTGATTTGTCCCGATACTCCTCGAAGCATTTCCACGCTAGACCTAATGGACTACTCCCCCGTCGTCTCTCGTCGTTAAATTTTGCAGTAACGAGACAATTTTTGCCTAGCAATTATTAAATTCTTCATCTTTTTCTCATATAGTTCCTTTAATCTCGGAACTAAAGAACTTTCATTAATATTTCCTTAAAGTTCCATTTTACTATATCATTTCTTCAACATTTCTTCTTCGATAAAGTTGCAATACGATTTGTCACTTAATACTCTTTCAAAATTGTATACTAGAACTAGTGGCTAACTTGAGTGTGTATGTATATGTTCCCTCATAGCTCCCTTGTTACTTCATCATTCTGCCAGTTTGGAGCTACAAAGCGACTAATTTCTTTAACACTCCTTCAAATGTAGGCTTTAGTACAATTATCTATCTGTTCACCATTTTGTCATCCCTATAGTTTTCTGTCATCTTAATACTGCTATCGAATGTATAATGGTGAGATAATTGATTAGCTATCCCTCCATCTTTTTACGTTTCTTCATTCTTGCTTTGATAGTCTAGAATTTAACTTATCTCTCTCTTTTTTGTTAACACAACCTACCATTCCTGTTTCTCTTTCTTCATTGTTCTATAATTTCTTCATTGTTTCTTCAATACTTTGGAACAAGTAAATAATTTTTCATTTCTTCATCTTAAACACTACGTTTCTTAGATAATTATTTCTTGTTTTCCGTTATATTCCATCTTCATTTCTCATTTCTCTATAAGCTTCCAAACAGGCTTATCACCTTGCAACACTTCGAAATAAAATTAAAATTATTCAAAAATTCTTCTTGTCTCATCATTTTGTCTGTTTGTTTCTTCATTGTCCCTCCAAAAATTTGAAGGCACAAACCGATGTTCTTTTGCAATATTGGAATCGTTAGATAACCATTATGCTCACCATTCCATTATCTGCGACGCCTTGTAATAAAAAGATGATACGTTTCATCACATTGTCATTGGCGCAATCACATAATTTGTTAGTGAGAACATAGAAATTCCGGAAATCAAGCAACTGTCAACATTTGTCATGTTCTAGCACATTCTTTTTCTTCACATGTAGACGAACAGTTCTTTCACGCGCACTGATCGCGAGTTTATCACTTATATCACGTAACGATGTCACATCGTCATTCCAAGGAAGTGTTCTAGTGCGAGAACTTGAGGAACACCTGTTCCAGGGTAGTTTGACTAAAACTGTATTCTTCAATGTCCAATTCGAGCTTGGCTGCAAGCAAAAATTTTCAAAAAGTTACGAAAATTTCCTTCACAATCAATTTACAAGGCTAAAATTTTGAATATTATTATTTTCCTAAATCGTACACGCGGAAACTTTAAAATTCTAATTTCAAGTCCTCCTCCCCCCTCTCTCTCTAGATGAACTTTCATTTCTTAAACTTTTATTTATTTTATGTTAATGATAAATCAGACTTAAAAATTAATAAAATTATATATTAGGTGTTGGAATTAATTCGTAGCGTTTTACAAGTGATGGGAAGTACTTTCATTAATGTATTTTTTAATGCTCATGTGAAATAAATAACATTCTTTCATTAAAAACGCTACGAATTAATTCCAACACCTAATATTTTTTCTAATTTCCTTATCTTTTAGTTTTAATGTTCTTTAATATTATGCTTGCATAAAAAAAATATTAGATTTTTGTGTTCTTTGGATCTATGACAAGCTGATTATTAAATTCGAAGAAAATTCTTCAAACTTTTTAAACTGATTTCTCACCTTTTTCTAATTGTGTAAAGCACTCAGCCAGCGAGGTCACGGCATGTTGGGGCACGGCAAAAACTAGCCGGTCAGCGAAGCTCTCCTCCAGAGTGGCGTCGGAGAAGAGGCCGGCGACAAATTCCTTCAAGCCGGCGATCCTGTCGCCGGAGGGTGTCGTCGGTGTACAATCGCCGCCTAGCAGCTTCATTTCTAGAGTATAGCCAGCGCCATAGAGATTTTTTAAATGCTGAGTCGAACCGATGCATCTCAGTTCACCCTTCACCATTATGCCGACTCTTGAACACAATGCGTCTGCTTCTTCCATGGAGTGAGTAGTCAATATAACTCCCCTGCCACCCTATTAATTAAAAAGATTTTTAGAAGAAACATTTTAATATATATATATATATAATTGCTGTATATTCTGATAATTATATTGCTATTAAGTATTATTTTATTATTTATTCTTCTATATTTATTATACCTATATTTATTTGTATTGATTATACTTCTTTTTTATCTAGTTTGTAGAAATTTAAAAAAATATATATTATTTGAAAAATCTGTTGAATAAAGAAAAATAATTTCAAATTATAGTATATAGCCTTACCTGGAAACTAGCGAGAATCGTATCCCATAGGAATCTCTTTGATCTGGGATCCATACCCGTGCTTGGTTCATCCATAAGAATCACTTTGGGTCCACTGACCATTGCCATCGCAAAGCTAAGTTTCCTTTTAGTTCCACCGGAACATTCTTGGCTCTGCTTGTCAGCATGTTCGTGAATCTGCAGACCGGTTAAATACTGATCCACGATTCTGCAACATAATAATACATTAATAATACAACATAATAATACAATAATAAACATAATTAAAAAACATTGTATCAATTATATTGGAAATATTAGTATCAAGAGACACAGTAATGTCTCGCGCCAAATGGACATTTTTTTTAAAAAAGTAAATTTGTTATGTTAACTTATACAGAAAACTAGATTGCTATATGAAAAAGGAACTTAATTATAATGCTACAGTAATTTTTGATGCTGCAGTAAAACTGCAGCATTAGTAGAACTTAGCATTAGTAGAACTGCAGCTTTAATTTTTAAGTATCAAACAGACTTTTGTAAATTCTATAATAATTCAATTGTTTATATAAGTTAACTATTATATCCCTAAAAAGTTAATTATATTTTATTAGATGAATATTGAAAGATCGCACCTGTCGACTTCGCTCCATGGAACACCGCGAATCGCGGCGTAGCATTCCAGATGCTCTCTTACAGTGATATTCTTCCATTGAGCGCCGTGTTGGGGACAATAGCGTGGGTGTTAATGTTATGACCGCTAATCTGCACCCTGCCCTTCGTCGGTGCCTCCTCGGCGATGATGATCTTCATTGCCGTGGTCTTGCCGGCGCCGTTATGACCTAATAGACCCAAAACCTCGCCTGGTTCTACCGCTAACGAGAGGTTTCGCACAGCAACCTTCCGCTCATCTTCACGCTTTGGACAGCAGGATGATCCTGACTCTTTTTGTCGATATTCCTTTCGCAGATTCTATCAAACATTTTATGACATGTGAGATAAAATAACTTTGCATTCCAGTAAAAAAAAATTAATTTGAATATTTGCGTTATAAAAATTGCTTTAAGTTAAAACTGTGTTTTGTAATTAATTTTGTTATAAATATTTTGTTATTAAGAGGATCCAAAGTCATATTTCTTTTTTACCGATTAAATGCAATAATTTTCGTAGAATGATATCGTATGTTTTAGGTGACGAGATACTATTTATTAAGATCGACATCCTTATGGATGTCGTAGCAGACGTATTTATAACTCAATAATACTCGATTTTTCTTTAAAATTGTGATTTCAGTATTATTCGTCAAAGTTTGATTATCAACAGAGATAATAACTGCAGAGAAAAAAAAATGGTAATTTTTTTGCAATATATAGGATATTATAGTTTTACAAGTATGCATATTTATTTATGTAATAAAGAATCATGAATTTAATAATGTATGAGCCAAATATTTATGTTAATAATAGCAAATTTATATCAATTGTCAGCGTTCTTCAATTATCTCCGGGCCTTTGGAGCCTTTTTATACCGCCAAAAATTGCTCAGGTTTTGACAGTCTTTAATAGTCAGTGGCATCAGTAACATTGCTTCTTACTGCATCAAAAATGTCGAAATTTGAGCCAAATAAGTGTCATTTGCGCGAAGTATTAATCTTTTGCTTTAAATGGAAGAAAATTGCAGCTGAAGGTCATCGAATGCTTTATGGTAATAGTTCCTTCCAATAAAACAGGCAGAGATTGATTTCGACGCTTTAAAAGTGGATGATTTTGATGTGGAGGACAAAGAGCGTTCTGGACGACCAAGAGCATTCGAAGACAAAGAATTACAAGTATTGGTGAATGAAGTCCCATGTCAAACGCAAAAACTTGCAGAAGCATTAAATTGTGCTCAATCTGTTATTTTCAATCATTTGAAAGCTTTGGGAAAGATCTACAAGAAAAATGGGTTCCATATGAACTGAAGTCAAGAGACATTGAAAGATGAAAAACTATCTACGAAATTCTGCTTGCTAAGCAACAAAGAAAGGAATTTTTGCATCGTATTATCACTGGGGATGAAAAATGGATTTATTTTGGCAACTCCAAACGTCGAAAAACCATTTGCGACTCCGGCCAATCTTCAACATCGACACCAAAGCGGAATATCCATGGAAAGAAGGCAATGTTCTGTATTTGGCGGGATCAGAAAGGTGTAGTGTATCATAAACTGTTGAAATCTGGTCAAATAGTCACAGGGGATCTCTACCGAGAACAAATTATCCGTTTGAGTTGAACATTATATGAAAAACGATCAGAATATGAAATGAAACAGCATAAAGTGATTTTGCTTCATGACAATTCGGCCTCACGTCACAAAACTTGTCAAGGAAACGTTAGAAGCACTTCTTTGAGAAGGGCTCATGTGACCTATTCACCAGACTTTCGACTATCCCTTCCGACTACCACTTGTTTCGGTCGATGGCACACGCATTTGCTGAGGAACGCTTCAATTCTTATGAAATCATCGAAGAATAATGGGTCTCTGACTGGATAGCTTTCAAAGATGAGACATTCTTCGCCGCGCAATTCGCTTGCTGCCCGAAAGATGGGAAAAAGTCATCGCTAACGATGGACAATATTTTGATTGAAGTACTTTTTCATTTTGTTTCTAAATAAAATATATATTGTACTTTTTGCGAAAAAATAGACGGAACTTTCCGATTGACCTATTACTTTTACAGATTTAGAAATCCTTTTTCAGAATATCGAAACAAACTAAAGTGCATTTTAAAACTAAAAATTGATGCTTTCGCGGAGCATTAATAAAATTTATTTATAAATTAGGTAGTGCTGTTATAATATCTCTCTATCTTAAAAATTTTTTAAATGGTCACTTTTTGACGCTATATTTCTCAAAATTGTCATATGTTAGTCAAATTTTGTCAACGAATTCGTGTTCAGTAAGCAAAGATACGTCGGAAATGATTATTCACATTCGTATTGCAAAATAGTGTTGGACAGTCTAATGTTCTCAATTCATACTTGACCTACTTACTTGAAGCAATACTAGAGGCGGCTCTTGACCGAGGGCTGGTGAAACGACAAAATTGAAAACCTTTTGCCGCTCGTTCTTCACATCCGTATCTTCGTGTTCGCCAATATCTGAATTTTCCATAATTTCCTCACGAATGGAATTGCCATCACGCTGTAAAAAGAAAAGACCTCATCTTATTACAAAAATACATTTCAGAGATATGTTTAATATGCTTTTAACAGATTTAATTAAAAATTTGCTGTTCACTTATAAATATGACTGGAATATATACCTTAAATTATATATAAAAAAATTATTTAGCTACGATATTTATTTATTAAATAGGCAAAAAATGATATTATTTAGAAACAAAAATGTACCTATATTTATATATACGTATATTTCGTACAAGATACTATTGAGTTTTCTCAATAACATAAATCATTTTTATATTATAATTAAATGAAGAAATTTACAGTAAATTAGGAAAAGAAAGAAAATTATTTATGAAGAAAATAAATTTAAAAAACAAAGAAAACTAAAAAATTCGACATTTTTCTTCCTATAAGATCAAATGATTTGAATCGTAGCAAGATATAAATATGAATATAAAACAATGCCATGTAACTTTAAAATATATGTTTGTACATATATAAAGAAAAAATAAGTACGAGTAGTAATAAAAATTTTAAATGATAATGTTAAATTTGGGCTAACCAGAAAGTAGTGTTTAAACACATCGCTGACATTGCCACCGCTTTTGTTGATGTCCAGTATAAGTAGTACTATAAACCAAACCGGACATTGTAGCAGCGCACCAAAAGCCAGCAATATAATCTCCATAGTGAGGTAATCAGACATGGCGAGATAGTGACAGGCAGCATTGATGGAGCACATCAAATGAACGCGGTCCACGTAGTACACCGCCGCATACGGCACGTACATGCTGTTCAATAGGGAAAAGGCCACGTGCAACGCGAACGAAGCTGTTCCACCTTGAGCAACAAATACGTAACAGGTAATTTTGATGACATCAATTTTGGTAAATGTATTAGAAAAAAACAGTTATAAAGTTTATAATTTCAGAAATAAGAGAAAAAAATATATAAATAGTTTGGCAAATCGACAAGGCTGCAAGTTAGGACTTAACATTCAAAATCAAAGGCTTATAGCTAAAGCTTACAGCTTTTCAACAATAAAAGAAAAAGATATAAATAGTTTTATTCCATGACTAACATTGCAAATTAGACTTTAAAATAAAAAAGCTTATAAGAAGAAGAAGGCTTTCCATTACTGTTTCACTGAAAAAAAATGATAAGATGATTTCAATATATTGGTTTTACTATTTACCGAGTCCTTGCATATCAAGAATCATAACAAGGATGAACGGTAGCAACCCGAAGAAGGTCGCGATGTTCGGCAACATGCTTTGCGCGGAATCCACTTTATCGAAGATGTAACTGAGACATGTAGAGAAGACGATAGACGATGGGCAGTAGAGCATGATAAGAAATATGATGCCGAGGATGCACAGGCAGATGAAAATCATCAGGCCGACTAGCACAATGAAGTAGCTAAAAAAGTATGTGGAGAACGACAGGCCATTCACGCGAAGCTGATTCTTCGCTTTGATCTGAAAAATATATTTATATATTTATATTGTATACAAAATTTCTGAAAAAAACCATCACATTTAATTTTAATTTTATGTTTACTAAATCTAGAAACAACTGTATAATATATAAGAGAACTAAAATCTAAAATATCTACTTTGTTTAAAATCGATAAAAGAAATTTTGCAGTTCGTTAATTTTAAATAAAATTAGAGACTTTTAACATCAATAGATTTTTTGTTTTAGCTTAATAAATATTATCAAGATATATATGTTTAATGCTAAATATTATAATCCGTATAATGAGATATAAGATTTAAGAACAAAGCCCTTACCTCGCGATCGTTAACCATATCCACTGCTAAAGTAATCGGCAATATTATGAAAACCATGCCGAGAAAGATAGCACAGCTAGCTGCGCCGATATTGAACTGTTGGGGTTGCGACGTTTGCTGAAAAGGGTGTGTATGAACTTCGATTGGCGTAGCTTCATTCTTACCCGAGATCAATCTAAATAAAAATTTATAATTCATAAAAATATTAATCAATTTGAGGCGCATACTTATCATCTAATTAAACTACAATCTCTTTTGTTTGTTTAAATTAAAAATATTCCAAGAAATTAATTTATAGTTTCCTACAATGTTAATTTCTTTAAGACTTCATATTTTTCAAAATATTTTATAAAGAGGATACAACTCACTTGACGTTACAAATGCTTTAAAGTATTTGAACCAATTGAAAGAAAAAATTTTACCAATTGACCAATGAAAAAATGCTTCGAAGCATTAGTAGCATCAAATGGATTGTAGACAAAATGTAACATATATTGAGCATTTTTTATTTTTAGGAATTTATATCTTAAATATTTCAACTAAACTCTCTTTATTTTTTCTATATGATAAACTCACCTATAATAAGCATTCGAAAGAATGTTTATCAATATTGGAAGGGAATGTTGCATTGTATCGTTGTATGTGACGGTCAGGTTGAGTCGCGGTAGATTATAATCATTAATGTTGAAGGCGGCTATATGTGGCGCGATATTCATTAAATTCGCGAAATTGCCATCGTATTCTTCAATAAGCTTCGTATCTTGAGCTATACTGTCTATCAACTTGGTAATGTCGTGGTCAGTATTATTTAAGTAGAGGATCTTGGTTTCGTTGTATGTGTCTAAAAAATGGAAAATATGCCATAATTAATTTGATTTTTCAAAAATAATAACTATTTTATATTAAAACAACATTAAAAATATTATATAATTCGTGTTCTATAAACTAAATTTTTTACGTAATTTGCCCACTTCATGAACCTGATTAATTCGTGGCAACAACTTTTAATTAAAATATAATATTCCATATATTCCTGAATTTATGGACATGTACTTGAATATGTAATAAAATTCTATATTTTTATAAAAATATTTTTATTATAAAATACCATCTCAATTAAAACAATAGGAACATTGTTCTTTATAGAGCTGATTTGCAATTAATATCATTTCAAAATTAACAAAAATTAATTGAATGTAAATAAAAAAAAACTAAACTATTTCCTATTTTGCATAATTTTAATTCATCACTTACGGCTATCGAGTTTTAGCGACTCCATCTTGACATCGACTGTTCGGATGCTGTTCAAATAGAGACCAAGCGCTACCAGAGCCAGTGGCGTAACGATTGTGAAGTATAGCAATTGGAGGTTTCTGAAAAGTCTGAGTACTCTTATACGTAACATGGCATAGAGTATTTGAAAGAAGTTAGGCCGAATCTTGATGGCATCTAGGCCGAGGCCAAGCACAGGTGGATTTCGATCATTATGGATGCCGTCCGGCAAATCGTTGGCTATAAAATAATTCCATAATATCATTAATTAATGATTAAATAACATATATAGATATTTAATATTAATTAATAACTTATAGATAATTAACAAAAGAGTTTATTTATTTTAGGAAAAAACAAGAAAAGAGATGATCTACGTACCCTTCCCTTGACCGTCGCCCTGTACGATTACCCCCTCGTTTTGCAAGCTCTGATAGGATGTGCTCTTGGATTGCAATGAAAGTGATCGGCTGAGCGCGCGATTACGCACCATCTTTTTCGACAGGTTGTCCATTGTGCACTCGGTCTCCTCATCCTTTTCCAGATGCAAAAATACCTCTTCCAGAGTAGTCATCGACACACCATAGCTGCTGATGCCAAGCCTGCTCGAACGAGTCTTGATCTCATGCTCGATGGCAGAGAAAAGGGGTGCAAAATTTTCCACAGAGTTGTGAGGTAGAATAAAGCTCAATTCCCGACCGTGACGTCTTGCCTTCTCCGCTTTGCTCACATGTGATGTTACTAACCGGCTGATAGCATGTTCTCTGGCATTACCCTCCAGGACTAATCTGCAAAATAATTACAAAATTTAATATTCATTAAATGTTCGAAATTATTTTATTTTTGACGAAAAACTGCGCACACTTTGCAATTCTTTATTCTTATTGATATAAGCTCTGATAAAATACAACACTGAATTTTTGGACTATCTCATGCTTTTCTATAGTAAATAAAAAAAATCAAATGATTTCTACGTCAAATTAATTAAAATAAATATAATTATTAAAACCAGAAAATTCCTTTTCTACAAGTTTTTCTTTAAATAAAAATTCTTAATTCAAAATTCAAAATTTAAGAACTTTTATTTTATAAAATTTTAATGAGTTTTCTGTCTCAATGTAATGCAAGAATAAATACTATAATAGTGGCATTCATACGTTAAATGATATCCAATTCCAAATTTGTTCTTTAAAAACAGAGAACTGCCACAACATCTGAGCTTTCCCTTGCTGATTACTGCTTTCCTGTCGGCGAGTATATCCGCCTCATCCATAAAGTGAGTTGTCAATAGAATCACTTTTCCGTGTCGCCTCGACTGGAGAAGAGACCACAACTGTCTTCTCGAATAAGGATCTACCCCGGCGGTAGGCTCGTCAAGGATAATAATTTTGGGATCGCCGATGATCGCGATTCCCACAGATAGTTTTCTCTTCTGTCCACCACTTAGATATCGTGCGAAAGTATCTGCTTTCTCGACTAAGTCAATGTCTTTCAGGGTTTTCTTCACCTGAAGATCAAATATGTTAATCTTTATCTTTATTTTTACTCTATTTTAAATAAATAAAAATATCGAGCTTCATTATTAATACAAACTATTATACAAAATAATATATAAATCAGTAATATAAATATAATAGAATACACGCGTATAAATAATTTTACTCTTTAGGTACCTCATGTCGTATCATCGAGCGTGGAATGCCACGAACAGCGGCGAAGAACTCGAGGTGCTCGCGCGGCGTCAATAGATCGAAAAGGATATCATGTTGTGGACAGACTCCAGTCATGCTGCGTATTGCTCGCATGTCGTTAGAATCGCGCACATCATAACCGAATATTAGAGCGGTGCCAGATGTAGGTGAGGTCAGGCCTGTAAGGATGTTGAAGAGTGTGGTCTTGCCGGCGCCGTTATGACCGAGGATGGCAGTGATTTGACCTTCGTAAATAGTCAGATTGATGCCATTCACCGCCTTAATCTCCGGTTGTCTGCACTTATGGAATGATTTGTAGAGATCAGCTATCCTGATCGCTTCGCGGCCCTTCATCTCGCGCACCACCGGCTCCACGTCGCGATTCGCCTCCTCGCCCGGAATAAACGAGTTTGATTCACCGTTTGACGATGGCACCTGTAAATATTTCTATGAAAACGACAATTGTGACACTCCTATAACTCATCAACAAATAATATCCTTATTATATGTATATACTTTTACTCATTAACCGTTGCAGTCAATAAAATTATTATTATTATTATCATTTTTATTATTAAAAGAGAAAAGATTAACACATAAAACTTTTAAATAATTTAGAATGATTTTTACACGTTTTTATAAAACCCGAACTTTTATATTACTTCAAAATATCTCAATTAATCCACGTACATTAATAGAAAGTCCATCAGTAATTTAAAAAAATATATAGTTATCTAATATGTGTGCGAGTGTGTGTGTATATATAATATATTTATACATATATATATAATATATTTCAATAAAAGATCTATAATTTTATTTATATTTTTGTTATATACTTAAGAACTCACCCTTTGAACCTTTTTTTGACACCAAAATCCAGGTAAAAAGCAAAACCAAGGTGGCCTCTTTGTTCCATGCTCACCTAGACATTGATTTTGACATTAAATTTTATCTAGGTTTATCATATATGATCATTTATCATATGTGTATATATTATATACATATAAATTACAATTATAAGATAATTGTAGCGCATCATGACGCCGCAAATAAATTGTTGCTAAGAATTACTTAAATATAAAGGTACTTTTTCATGCTGACGCTCAACGTTCATTTTTAGCGTTAAAATTTTTAGGTCATGTAATCGAAATCGACACTTGATATTCATCAATTTTTATCACGTGATTTATTCCAACGCTAAAAATGAGCATCAGCTGAAAAGGTATCTTAAGAGTATTTTCGTACTTAATTTAAAACAAAATTTGAATTTTTCTAAGCAATTTTTTGCATTGCGATAAAAAAGAAACATACTTGGAATTACGGAGTCGAGATAATAGGCCAAATAGCCATACAAAAAGATATCCAAAGTCATCATGATGAGACTGCCACCGAAAGGTATTCCTGGGCCAGACCAAAGATTGTCGAAATTTACTCCTTCACCTTGCAGATCCAATACCAGAGACTAGACAACACAGTGCCAAGCTTTTTAAAATAGATGACCCAGCACGAACACCGAATATAATTGCTACATAATATAAATGTAACATGTATTTACGTATATGTTACGTAGTAATTATATATTTATGTACGTTTGATAAGACTGTATAAGAAATCCACATTATAAATTATGAAAATATCTGCAAGTCTCTCCTTATTTAATCATTTATTATCCAATAAATGTTTCAAAACGTTTCTTGTTTACTAGGTAAGTAAAATATTTCATTAATAGTACAAAAGAAATTATTTAATTGCTTCCAAAAAATAATAAAAGTTATATTTTTTATAATCTTTTAAAGAAAATTAAACAAACTATTATTATTATTGCGAATTGTCTCAAAATTATATATATATATATATAATTTTGAAACAATTTGCAATAATAATAATAGTTTGTTTAATTTTCTTTAAATATATATATATATATAATTTTGAGACAATTCGCAATAATAATAGTTTGTTTAATTTTCTTTAAATATATATATATATATATCTATATATGTATATCAGGTCTCTCAGACTACCCGTACACCCGTTTTATCTCGGAAATAGAGCATTTTAGAAAAAAAAAACGTTTCAGACAAAAGTTGTGGGATTCTAAATGATCTATTTAGTGATCTGATTAGTCTGATCTTGGGTGGCGTTACCAAGGTCACAGAGCAATATCACTTTGAATTTTTTAAATGGCCCTATTTTTCATTGCATATTCTTGTAGCACATCTCGAGAGCTTTCCAAAATACTATAATAAAATATTTTTTCATGAAGTTATTTTTAAGTAAGACTTAAAAGTTACAGTACCGCCGGCATTAGTATTACGCAAGATGTCCGAACGCTGACTAAAACCTCTTGAATGTTGTTCACAATCATATCCTGGATTTGTTAAGATTAAGTT